CTGTACTTAGATGTGGACTTTTTTTATATATTGCTCTTGGGATTTGTTAGAATTAAATCTGTAAGTTGTTGGTTTTCATTGGTTTCTGAAAGGATTGGCCTTTTTCTATTTAATTATTCTTTGAGAACTTTTCTGTGGAAATTCTTCAAGCTTCAGGGGAATCTGAGCATATAATACTGGAAAGATTTGTTAAATAAGCACCTTGGAAGCATTACCAATCTTGTTTCACTTCAGATTTTCAGTTTGAGCTTTTCAACTCCTAGATATTATTGTTCTTGCTATAAATCCAGTTTTGATACACTTGATTTTATTTGCAATTGCTAGTTTAGGGGATAAGGTTGGGGTAGGAGGGAAAGAGAATGGTGAGTGGGCTTATTTCTGGTTTACTATTGTGTTGAACTTCGCCCCTTAGAGTCCCAATTTATGAGGAAAGCACTCTTTCAGGTTCCCTACATTGAGCAGGATTTGTGCTTTGTTACCTAGAAACCTAGTAAAAGGTAAAAAAACAAAGCTCAGATTTAATTGGTTTGCAAGTGCCTTCCATGGGTAGAAGTCAGAGGCATCATTTTAGGACTTTGAGTTCCCCTCTTTACTCAGTCTTTGACCAGACATTCTTTAGTCCTTGCAGCTCACTCAGACATGCCTTTAAGATTTTTTAAAATACTTTATTAATTATTTTTAGTTCTTTCCTTTGGAAGTGTCAGCTCAGTCATTTAAGGAGTCTGCCATGTTATCATACCAGAAACAGAATAAAACACATAGTTTTTAAAGGTCATAATTTCTTAATGTTGACCCATGCCAGTGCTTCTTAAATGTTGTTTAAGATGTATATAGAAATATAGTGGTCATGATTCCTGAGTGAAAGTCAGAGACCTTATAAATTTTAAATTATACAGTTTTGTCTGAATAATTATTCTCAGACTGATGTTTCAGTTGTGTCGGTGTTTGAGCATATGCTGAATGCAGAGCAGCAAGCTAGTTGACATGAATGCCATATCTGAGGGACTGGCTCTGCCTTCACAAAACCTAGGGTCCAGTAGAAAGGTAACGGGTTATGTAAATTATTGTAATAAAAACAGTTATGAAATTGTATATTACCTTGAATAAGGAAGAGAAATTCATAGTGAAATAAATATAGTTTAAATTTAGAATAAATAAGTGATTAAATACATCTTTAGAGTTATTAAAAGTTTGGTAAGTGAGAAAACCAAAATTATGTCATCTTATTTAAATGTCAGCTGCATTGTCCCTCTGGGTTGCAAGGTTATAAAGTTGACAGCAATATAATATTTCCTATCAGTGGGCCAGAACTGATTTGTTTGAACTTCTTCTGTAAGGAGAGGCATAGAAATGAAACACTGTTGTGTACTATTTTAAGACCTATTTTGAATTTGAAAGGCTTATTTCTGCCCTATTTTGTTTAGCTCTCTATATTCTTTTCCATCTGACCATTGCTGTCAGTAGGCTTGTGTTTTTAAGCAAAGGGCAGAGTTTAAGTGGAACAGCATAATACATTGGTAATTGACCTATTATAGCTAAATACCAGTAGTGCTGTAACATACAGCATTTTGGTCATATCCTTTGTACAACTGGCTGGAGTTTTATATAGTTTATTGATTCTAAGATAGTCATTTATTTTTCATGATTTAATTTCCCTAAAATTGGAATGTCTTACAATTGATGATGTCTTAGTGTTGCTGAGACTAGAGGGCAGTCCTGCTATAGCTTTTCACAGTTCCAGAAATATTCTCATTATTTCTAGCAAAAGATTTGTATCTATAATATGTTAGGAGTTCCTGTATATCATTATTAAAAAGACAGTCCAATTAAAAGTGAGGAAAAATGTAGACACATCACAAAAGAAGATACACAAATGGCCAATAATCATATGAAGAGAAACTATTTTACACTCATCAGAGAGGCTGAAGTTTAAAAGAATATACAGCTGTCATGCATTTTTAGTGGAAGTATAAAATGATAAAACCGCTTTGGAAAACTTTCAGCAGCTTTATAAAGTTAAACATGTGCATGACCCTCTAGTTCCTCTCAGAGGTGTTCATATAACAGACATGAAAGCATATATTCATAAAACCACTTACAGGAGAGTGTTTTGTATTAGCTTTATTTACCACAGTTCACATTTGGGAACCACTTTTGTATACACTATTTGTACCTTGCCCCCAAATTTTGTATTTCGATACCTAATCACCAGTGCAATGGCATTGCAAAGGGGAATTTGGAAGGTGGTTTGGTCATGAGAACTTTGCTCTTGGAAGTGGGATTAGTGCCCTTATGAAATAGATCTTGCCCTTTATCTCTAGAGAACATGGTGGAAAACTGTCTAACTGAACTACTGAGTAGGCTCTTACTAGCCTACTAATGCACCAGCATCTTGATCTTGGATTTCCATTTAAGCTTCCCAGTTTATGGTATTTTTGTTGCAGCATCCCAGATAGACTGAGATACTCAAATATTCACTGGCAGGAGAATGGATAAGCAACTTGCATTTATTTTCCTACCATACAATTCTACTCAGTAGAAGAGAATGAACTGCTGATACGCTCTCAGTGTAGATGAATACCAGAAAATTCAAATTGATTGAAAGAACCCAAGTACAAAGGAATAATATCCATAAGAATCTATGTGAAAGAATTCCCAGGACAGGCAAAAGTAATATGTGGTGATGGGAAGCAGAGCAGTGCTTGCCTTTTGGAGGGAAGGGTACTGAGGATCGACTGATTAAAAGGTTCAGAAATACACTGAAATGAAACGTTGGAGCATAAATTAGATGTTTGTGGATTCCTCCATGTCAGAGGATTCAGCTCAATTCTGTATTTCTTTGTAAAATAATAACTTAAGTATTTTATGGTATCTTAGAAAGGAAAATACCAGCTGACAAGCTTTGGTTAATTGAAAACTGTGTGAGTGACTTTAGCCTTCATACAGTACTTAGAACATTCAATGTGTAACCATGCAGATGCTGTATAACTTATATTTTAGGCATCAGAAGTTGAATTAGGCGTTTAATAGTCTTTTTTATTAGTTGGGTATTACAATAGGTCTCTTTTTTTGTATTTGTAATTAGTTTCATTTTTAAAATTAATAAAAAAACAAAAACAATAAAAATGATACAGAATTTCAAAATAAGATGATAGGAAATTAACAATGGTTATTATATTGTTATTTTCAAAGTAATGGTTCAGATTATCAGATAATGTCATGCAAAATTAATCGAATTAATATAAGTGCTAACTGTTTCTTTCAATGAACTAAAACAAGTGGTATGGGGGAAAGGAGAAAAGAAGGGGGAAAAATATATATATATATATATGTATGTATATATACACACACACACAAGACAGCTGACATCTCTTGTTTGTAATTTATTCATTACTGTTAAAGTTTGTATTTTCTTTTTTTGAGACAAGGGTCTCGTTGCGCAATTCAGGCTGGTCTTGAGCTCACTTTGTGGCCCGGACTGGTCTTGAACTCATAATGATCCTCCTGCCTCTCTGGTGCTGGGATAATTACAGGTGTGCACCGCCACACCCAGCCTAAAGTTTGTAATTTTGAACTTCCAAATCATAATACGGATATGGGTAACTTTGTATTTTCTCACCCTATTTCAGAAGCCAGAAGAGAACAGTGCAGCATTATATTTAGAAATTTATATATTACCATGTAGGTATAGGTTGATTGAGATAAATTAAAAAGGAAAACATCTTGGCAGTGAGATCTGTGTCTGGAATATAGGTTTAAGAAGTCAGGGATTCAAAAAAATAAAAAATAAAAAAAAAAGTCAGGGATTCAACTACATGTATGTGTAGCTTACAAGCTAATGGATTACCCATATTGTTCACTTACAATGTTAATGTGACTTTGTATTAGAATTCATTTTCTAACAATGCATAAATATTCAGTTTTTAAAATAGTGTGTTTTATTGTTCAAAGTAGTAGTAGTATATTTCACATTTACTGTTGAACTTCTTTGATAAGAAAACCAAAATAGAGAGCAAATGATTATCTGGGGAAAATTTTGGAATGATATGGAAATCTTAACTTTTTCTTAACTTAGATGTGAAATGGCTATAAGAACAGGCAACTCAATAGTTTGATACTATCACTATCATAATGTACTAAAACCATTTACTACAAAATACACTAGTCTGTGATGGCTCATATTTGCAGTATTGGAATTTTTCAGTGAACTCTAAGTACATGCTCTCATACATGGGCTTTGCCCTTTTACCTTTCATCTCTCCTAAACTTTACAAGCAGAATGATACTGAAATGCATTGATAGTATATTGACCCATCTAGTTAGAGGAGCTAGATCATAACAAATACAATATGCTAATTCACTTTTGATTATGTATATTTAGAAAACGACCATTTTAAAATCCTGACAGTAGCTCTCCAGGATCCTACATTATTTTCGGAAATATCTCTTGGAGGTGCAGTGGAGATATTATGGTAGTAGATTTACTAAAATAAACTGTTGGCATATACAGATTTCTGTCCTCTAAAATCTTCAAAGCCACTCTGAAGTTTGATGAGATTTTTCTAATTTTACTGAAGCACAAAAACTGAAAAGTATTATGTGCAGTGCAGGATAGGCTAAGTCACTCATTTAAGAGGCCTGTGCAGCCACAACAGTGACTTCCTTTCAGATGACTTTTTGATTTTTAATTTTCCTTTTCTCATAAAGTTTTCCTCTAATAACATTTCAGAAGTCAAGATTTAGTGTGGAAAATGCTAAGGACTAGTTACATGAAGATAAATTACGTGTTGATACACACCTACAAACACTAAAACTATGGACCATGTTTGTCTTTTGGCAGTTAAAGGAAAGATCTAAGCATTATGATTTGCAGTTGCAGAGCAGTTTTATTTAAAAATAAACTTTTTTAGTTTGACACTTTAAAATTATTTCAAAATATATTTTCTCAGTTGTATCACATTGAATATATTTGACGCTTTGTTATCTGTATTTTTCCGAAGATTTGTCCCATCAGATGAAAAGAAGAAACAAGGTTGTCAGCGAGAAAATGAAACTCTGATACAGAGAAGAAAAGATCAGATGCAACCAGGAGGCACTGCAATTAGTGTTACTGTACCTTACAGAGTAGTAGACCAGCCCCTTAAACTTATGCCTCAAGACTGGTAAATCTAAATTTTTTTTTACCATTCATATTTCTTGTGTGTATTATTGATTTTTAAAAATTTGTCTGAACAAGTATTAGGGTTTATCAAGGGTTATACATAGGAACTGTCTTTGAAAACTGTTAATGTTTATAGGTACAATTTGATCATTAATGTTGTTAACATTCTAGTAATACCTAAATAAATAGCCAAACTTTATTTCTAAGAAATATTCTAACTTCTATTTCTAGAAAATCTCATACTGTAGAAAATTGTGTACTTTCTCATTTATTCTGGATCAGCTTTTAAGAGGGTAGAACAAATATGAAAGCCTAACATTGTTTTATGGTCTTCTATTTTAGATTTTTTATTTGGAGAATTTAGGTTTTCTAGTAAGAAATGTTAAGGGATGGCATAGTTATTTTTATTGTGTAAGAATAATTTACCAAAAAGAATAACATCATCAGCTATTTTATCATTATATAATTATTTTATTGTATTAAAATGTTTAGCAAAGTATTAACTGCTTATAACACATGGTACTTAGAAAATCAAACACAAGAATTTTCAGAAATTTTTATTAATCTAGGATGGACCAAAAAGTTGAAGTCTGAGAGTTTCTTTCTGTTGTAGAGAATGCAGACATAATGCATTAGATAAAATATGTATTTGAAGTAATTATTAGTTTTCAGACATTAGGAAATGAAGCCATTGAGAATATTAGTATGACAAAAATTTATGAAAGAATACAGGATTCTTTGTGTTCAAGTCCCAGTACCCCTGCAAAAGAAAAGAGAAAGAATACAAGATTTTTTATTATAATTCCAATACCTAACAGATACCTTAAGTAATATCTAAAATGAGTAAAATGAGAATGTTAGATATTCAGCTTAAAACCAAGTGAAAAAAACTATACCATTTGATTTATGTATTTGAAGGATATCATTATAGGTAGAAAATGATAATGCAGACAATGTATATAAATGCCATTAGTGTGCTATAAAATCTTGCTGACATGTATTAGCATCTCTAGCCATTATCATAGTTTAGTATTAATTTTTCCTTACATTCTTTTCATTATTCTTTCACAAATTCGTGGAGATAGGGTAGCATTTGTATCATTTTGCTCCCATTAGAATCTGGATGATCTCTGTGCAACAGATTCCCTTTATGTTTAGCAAGAACCCTGCTTTTTCACTTACTGTAAGATTTAAATTACACTGTAAAATTTAGGGATTATTTACTACAGTGCTCCATTACTAAGGGTGGTTTTGGCAATTTGGAGTACATTTCCCATGAAAGGGGAAAAATTTCTTAAGATTTAATTCTAACCCAAGAAATCTTGAACACGGTAAGAACTTTAAAGTTGTGTTTTTCACAGCAGCTTTAGTAGTTGCTGGAGGTCTTTTACGTGAATAGAAGGTAATGCCAGTTTAATGTTCTGTTGGATGTATGGAATTTTCATGTAAGGTCGTGATTATCTAAGTGAGATCTGCATACTTATGGACATTTCCAAGACATTTCAGGGAGTTACAAGGTTCCGTAGTATTACTGAGGTAACTAACTATTCACTTAAAATTGGAACAATACCGTATCTTGTGTCCAAGAGTTATGTTTATTCTCCTCTTTCCATCCCTTCCTTCCCTGTTCCCTTTCCTTCCCTTTCTGTCTGTTGGCTGTTTTTTGTAATATACCTGTACACATATTTCCTCATCTGTAAAATGGGAGGATAATAGCACCTTAGAGATTGCTTTAAAGATTCATTGTGTTAGCGTGAGTATTGTGTAAAGTGCCTAAAACAGCACTGGCACACAGTAAATGCTTACCGTAAATACTAATGTTAACCATTGTTCTTGAGGTCCTGTTCCCACTTCAGCTGTAGGGTTAAATTGTTTCTAGCAGTACTTTGTATACTTTCTCATTGAATTAAATATTATGCAAAATAATGAAGTATAAAAGCCTAGAAAGAGTTATGTTCTTCCTTGGAAAACTGGTTTGAGTGATGGGGAAAATGAGTTGCTTTAAAACACAAATTAACTTACAGCATTTAGGGTGAATGATATAGTTGTATAATAATTGAAAAAATTATATAAATTAAAATGGTTTTATACTAGATTTCTGAGTATTCAGAAGAACTGAAAAATAATGCCCAGAGTTTCATAAAATAGTTGGTGAATTACTATAACTTAATCTTTCACTTAATGCAAAATATTTAGGATGCATTTGAATGTTAAATTACTTTTTTTAAAGCCATCTCTTTCAGTTAGCTGATCAACTATTGTTCCATATTGCAATTAAAAGTCAAGCCCCTAAACCTTTCAATAGAAAAGGCTGCAAAAATCACATAAGACTATTGTGTGTGTCATTTATATTTGAAAAATTTAGTTTCAGAAAACAGATACATGGAAAGTATGGTAATGATTAGTGTGCTGTAATGGTAATGTATTGTAATCTTACAATAATGTATTTACTATATTTGTCTCACTAGGAGGGCTGGTGATGAAACTATATCAAATGAATATTAATTATGACACTTTTGTTTTGGGTTTTACTGTAACTAAAGCTCAAGTTTGAGATACTCTTCTTCTCTCTCTCTCCCCTGCCCGCTTTTACTTGTAGGGACAGAGTTGTAGCAGTTTTTGTGCAAGGTCCTGCTTGGCAGTTCAAAGGCTGGCCATGGCTTTTGCCTGATGGATCACCAGTTGACATATTTGCTAAAAGTAAGATTCTCTCTATATTTACTGCTTATCTAATATAGAAATGTTACTTAAGAGAACCATGTGTGACTTTGCATATATGATGAATATATTAAAGGATTTCATTAATATATTAGGTCTTAAGCACTTGTGAAATATTTGTAAAGCATTTTTATACATTAATGTTTTGCCCAGCCTCCAACATTTTTTTTTCTCCAACATTAATAATTACTTTTTAACTCACTTAAAAATCAATAATTGTTGCCTGTTCATTCCTTTTTATTAAAATTGATAAGTAGTTTTTAAATGGACGGTTTTGTTCACCAGAACTGTGTAGCAATAATTTTAAATGGCCTGTGATGTATATCAGCTGACCCCATCTTCTGGAATGATTGCAGTATGATGGGCTTTTTCGTTTTCATTTACATTTCCACTGAATTGGTTCGTCTTTAGAGTCTTTCTGTGATCATCTTGTTTGAACTTGTTATCACCTCCTCTCAAATACTCTCAAAGCTGTTTAGCCCCTGCCCACCATTTTATTTTCTTGATAGGACTTATTGTTGCTGGATACTATCTAATTCTTATATCTTTACTATAAGTCTTCCCTGCTTAGAATGTAAATTCCACCCCAGGAAACACCCTCTCTGCTTTATTTACTCTGTGCTACTAGCACAGAGGAGTGTCCTGCATGGGAGCCTTTCAGTAAATATCTCCTGAATGGATTACTTCATGCAGATTATATATTTTAACTAAATATATATTGGTATAATTAATAGAATAAAATAGATTAATATACCCAGTTTGCTGGAGTATTTCAGCTCCTATTTTTTTTTTTTGTTTTTCTCCGGTACCGGGAACCGAACTCACGACCTTGCGCTTGCCAGGCAGGCGCTTTGCCGCTGAGCTAAATCCCCAGCCCCTTCAGCTCCTATTGAATTGGAGCACCAATTTAGAATGGTAGCATTAGTAGAATTATTTTTAAAAATTATTCTCATGAAACAAGGATGTTTATTAGAAATGACACTTCCAGCTATTATGAATGTAGATTTCACTACTGTGCAATTCATGCTTTTTAGTAACCTGTTTGCTCATTTTTTATTAATACATGGTTGTAGTACATTATGGTCACATTCTATGTGGAGAGTTGGTACATGTACATGATATGTTTTAATTTTCTTTTTTTTAATCCCTTTCCATTCCTCTCCTATCTCTTGGTTCCCTTCCCATATGCAAAAGATCTATCTCACTACTTCATATTTGTCTATCTTTTATTTTGCCCTTACTTACATTTTATATATCTTATGTAAGAGAAACCATGCAGTATTTAAGCTGTGTGTCTGATTTATTTCATTTAACGTCATAATCTCAAGATACCACCATTTTCCTACATATGATCAAGTTTCTCTTTCTTTATGACGGAGTAGTACTCCATTGTGTATAAATACCACATTTTCTGTATCCATTCATCTTTAGATGTAGCTATTGTGAATTGTGCTGCTAGAAACTTTGATGTGGCTATATCAGTATAATATAAAACCTTTATCTCTTTCAGGAAGATAAACTAGGGGGGCATAGCTGAGTTGAATGGAATTTCTTGTTTTAGTTTTTTGAGGAACCTTCATACTGATTTCCATAATGGCTGTACTAGTTTACATTCTTACCAACAGTGTAGAAGGGATTCCTCTCCTCCCCGCCCCCAGCCTCAACCAGCATTTGTTATCTGATCTTGATGATGGCCATTCTTTCTAGAGTAAGGTGGAATCTCTGTGTTGTTTTAATTTGCATTTCTCTAATGGGCAATTGAACATTTTTTTCTTGTATTTATTGGCCATTTCATTCTTTTTCTGAGAAATGTCTGTTCATTTCAGCTGCCCATTTTTTGATTGGTCTTTTATTGGGGGTGTGTCTAATTTTCTTGAGTTCTTTATAGTATGTTCTAGACATTAGTTCTCTGTCCAAGGAATAGCAGCTAAAATTTTTCTCCTACTTTGTGGATTATCTCTTCACTCTGTTGGTTGTTTGCTTTGCTATACAGAAAGTTTTTAATTGGCTAGGATCCCATTTGTTGATTCTTCGTGTCATTTCTTGTGCAATGGTGCTGTGAATCTCTTATATTGATGTACTTAGTATTGAAGGAGGAGGAGATCAGCTATGGAAATTTAGAGATAATCAGCCTTGTTTTACCAGCTTTTAGACGTGCACTCCCTAAGTGATTAACATGCCTATGTGCAGAACTGAGCAAGGATCTGACCCAACAAATACAAAATGAATTTCCAGCTTTGTTCTGCTTTTAGTTGCCTAATGGGATCTGTAAGCCCCAGTGGTGAGTCACTTTTTTTTAAAATAGTAAAAGCAGCTTTTAAGTCCCTAACTCCCTGAGGACAAAATACAAATCATCCTTTTAATGAACAACAGGTTAAGGGCCTAAGAGTTTGTTCTCTGTCTCTGTGGTGGTCTCTGTCAGTGCCGGCATTCTTCATGAAACTGTCCAGGCTTGAAAAGTTTTTATCCTTTGTTGTTCTCCTAATTTATTTTTAAAAACAAATGTTACTCACCTGATAGCTCTTTGTTATTTCTGATTAATGCTCATTATAGAGTAATGCTTACAGAGTTGGTAAATAATTAAATACTATATATAGGGAGAATGGGATTCTTAATGAAAGCAAAATGTCAGTGAAAGAAAATGGCCTGTGTTTTACATACTTACTTCCTTATTGAGTAGTCTTGTAACAGAAATGATTAGAATGTCTTCAAAATGGTAATATTCTCAGAATGTTACACGGTTCAAATTGTTACTTTTCCAAAATCAGGAATTGATCTCAAAATCAATTGAGAATTGTAACAATAATCACTGTTTTTCTCCCACGAATTGTTCTTTCTCTTTAACCTTCCTTCTCTATGGGTTCCTCTGCCACCATTTTAAAATGTCCTTTTATCCTCCACTTTAAACCACAAAATAAAGCCTTTACCTTTGGTCTTATCCTTTCTCTCTAGCTACTTCTCTTTTTCCTTTTTGAAAAGAATTGTCTCTCTGACTCACTTTCTGTTCAGTTCTCAGTTAGCTATAGCTTCTGTCTTTTTCTCTCACAAACTGTTCACACCAAAGTCACCAGTGGTCCTGGTACTGGGTACTTTTAACTTATCAGAATTTGACTGTTATTTTTTTCTTTTAAAAATACTGTTTTTCAAATACATGCTAATACACCAGCAAGTATTCCATAAGTAGCTATCGCGACAGGCATGGTGGTGCACGCTTATAATCCCAGCATTCTGTAATCCCAGCACTCAGCAGGTAGAGGCAGGAAGATTGTCACAGCAAGATCAAAGCCAGCCTGGGCTCCGTGGTGAGCTCAAGATCAGCCTGAACTACATAGAGAGATCCTGTCTCAAAAAAAGAAGGAAAAGCAAAAGAACATTTTACAGTCTTTTGTTGTTACTGTTGTTTAGAAACCCCTCATAAAATGATAGCAAAAATCATATGCTAGTAAAAAACTTAAAAATTGAGGGAAAAAGCTGAACATTTATATATGTACATGCACAGCAGAGCTGTATTGTTAACAGACATATTGCAGATATGATAATAAACTTGGGATAATTCAAGTGGATTGTTAGGGTTAGAGAAAGATTTTAAGTTTATTATCTGCTGCCCCAAACCTAGTTAGCCTTTACAAGTGCAAATTATACCATTTTACCTTCTTGCTTTAAGCTGGCTCACTATAACATCTGGATTGAAATTCACATTTCTTACTTAAAAGCCATTGCCTACAAAAACATTTCACATTTTTCATAGGCCATTTTAAGCTTGCTGTCATCAGTGCCTTGTGGCATCCCTTCCTTCTACCTGAAATCTTCCCCTAGCTCTGCAAGACAAGGTTTTCCATTGTTGACTTCTAGGTCGCCTCTTCTAGAGACCCTCCCCAAACACTAAAATATCTAAAGTAACTCCTCACACTTACTATTTTACCTCCTTAGCCACTTTACTTTTCTACAGTGACATTTATACTGTATGAATATTGCATATTTATCTCAAGTGGTTCTTAGTATATAAACTCTCTGTAGTGGTGGTGGTGTGTTTGTCTTGGTCGCTGCTCTATCCTTAGTGCCTAGAATAGTTCATGATGTACAGTCGATACTTGCTGAATATTAGATATATTTTTTATTGTAAAGTCTTTTTACCTCTTCATTGGGTTTTTCTTTTTACTAGCTCCCATTAGTTCTCATTTCCTAATCTTCCTCTTGCCATTCATGTGTCTTCTATCCAAATAAATCTCCTTTATTGTCTAGATTATTAAGTTGTGGCAAACTCTGCTAATATTTTGTGGGATTCTCTGTGTCACTTAATTAAAAATCTGTACATTTTAGTATGTCCTGCAAGCCTGACACTGCTTTGAACTCTGTAAATTTATTTCTTAACCTTTGCCTCTATTTCTAGAGGCCCTCCCCAAAACTCCTCACTTTTCACTGTGCAGTTCTGTTACATTTCTGTATTTCCTAGACTGAAGCCTATCTTCTTTGAGCATGCTCCTCTTGTTCACTTTTGTTCTTGACTTCTTATTTGTCCTTTAGGTCTTAAGTCATAAGTCTTTAGGTCTTCAGCCTGAATTTGTGGTCTGTATCAGTAGGGACAAACCTATGGCACGTGTGCCACAGCAGGCTGTTTGTCTTTTATTATTTTGTATTTGTTCTTTTCTGTCTGGGTGTGGTGGCATATACCTATAATCACAGCACTCAGGAGGCTGAGGCAGGAGGATTGTTGTGAGTTTAAGGCCAGCCTGGGCTACTTAGTGAATTCACTATCAACTTGACTACGTAGCAAGGCCCTGTCTCAAAAAACCAAAATAATAAAGAAATAAATGGTTCTCTTCTTATTATCCCTAACTAAACCACATGCACTTTATAATACCTTATTTTTCTCTTTTTTGTGTGGTGGGTGTTTTCCAGGACTGGGAATTGAACTCACGACCTGTGCTGTTGAGCTAAATCCCCAGCCCCCTTATTTTTCATTTCATTCTATAGTGCCAGCATGTATAAACTCTCACTGAATGTTTGTTGAATTAAATATTTTTGATGATACTACAGTGCTTCTACTTCAAAGATAACTTTGATTATACTGTGTCTTCATTTGGTAGAAAGAGATATCTTTTTTTTTTTGCTTTTTTTAGTTTCCGGTTGATATCTGTGTTGGATACATATTTTTACTTATAAAAATATTGTCATAATTTTGATTATGAGTAAAAATATTATTTTTTCCCTGTTCTCCACGTAGTTAAAGCCTTCCATCTCAAGTATGATGAAGTTCGTCTAGATCCAAATGTTCAGAAGTGGGATGTAACAGTATTAGAACTCAGCTATCACAAACGTCATTTGGATAGACCAGTTTTCTTACGGTTTTGGGAAACACTGGATAGGTAATTCTGATTCTAAAATATACCTACCTGTGTTTATTGAAATAATTTTCTTATCTTCTTAACTTTTAAGGACCTTCTAACTGCAAATAATGTTTTCCAGTTCTCTTCACCATTGTCTAATTTGATGTTGACCTATAACAGATAATAAATATCTTTGATATATTGGATATAGAAATAGATGGAGTAAAGGTTTGTAGCCTGTTAGAAAAAACTGAACCCTGAGTCAGAAGGTGCGTGTTAGTCTTGCTTTTGTGATCTGTCTCTAATGCAGTGTCACCTTTTTTAACCTCATTTCCTATCCGTCCTTATGTTTTACAAACACTGAAACTCTGACCCTGGATTTATTTGGGTTATATGAAGCTTGTGAAAGGAATTTAATTTTTAAATTTATTTTCATTTCTAGTATAAATGGAATTCTTAAATCCTTTACAGTAATAACAGCTTTGTAATTGTCAAATGTAAGACTAGCACATGATCATAATTAATACTGAATTTATTGTTCTCTTTGAGATGCTCCTTAAAAATCTGTAACTTTCTTAGAATTCTCTTACAGGAATTTATAGGTTTCCTCAAAGTCAGACGCAATCAGGGTGATCTAATGTGATTATAACTGACAGTATGTTAAGGAGAAACATTCACTTTTCTAGCGGAAGCTCATAGGATATAGAATTTAATAAAAGGAATATTTTCTTCTTGCTTACTTTAGAAGTTCTTTGTTTTCAAAGGTTACAGTTTTTTAGAAAATAAAACATTTTGCTTCACTGTCAAGTTTGAAAAAATGTCAACTTTTACATGTAATCTAAAAATTTTTAAATTCTATAATCATTGTAACCTATTATAATATTGCTTTTCAGGTACATGGTAAAGCATAAATCCCACTTGAGATTCTGAATGATTTGGTTCCTTCATTTCTGAAAGTCAGAATTAAGAAGCGTGGATATCCATACCTTGATCTAAGACTGAGACTCAAGCTTTATGAATTTATCAAGAACTTAACAAATGAAGAAGGTTGCAGATCAGTCTTTTCTAAGACCTTATTTGATGCTTTGTGCTTCAAAGGGATGATGCCTGTCATCCATATAAGCAAACTTTTTGGCTTACAACTATTTTTTTAATATTAGCCTTCTAGTCTGTATTGGAAATTGTATATTTTGATAGAAGTTTTTTCTCTATTGGTTAAATTAGCATTGGTTAAATTTTGTTTCTTTAGAAATGAATACAGGTTATAAATGTGTGTATATTTAGAGGTTATGAGGCTTCCTAAGCCATCTTTGCTTCTGATTTTTCACTGCTCTATAATTTCTTTTACTGAAAATTCTGTGTTAAAGTGATATTAAATTTTAGACGGTGGAACTTCAAAAACCATGCAAAAGGATGTGACTATTTTGAATGAATCAGATTCCCAATGTGTATGTATACTATGTCCAGACTTTTTATTTAAAAAGAAATAATGAAAAACCAAGAACAATTTTTCACCTTTGGTTGAACTTTTCAAGACTTCTTTACTTAAAAGTGAATACATTTAATGAATGTACATTCTTCTCATTGACTTTGGTGATTTTAAATCTTAGAATGATCTATTTCTATGGGGGTATCTTTCCACTTGAAAAATCTCAAAACAGATTAAAAACATAATAGGCTGTAGTAATTTTTGTTTTGGGAGCTGGAATATGACTTGGGAGAAATGTATTAGGCCGATTACAGTATAACTTTTAACTTCTTTAGCTTTTCTCATAAGTCCTCTTTCGATTCTTATCTATATGGTATAGGGTTTTGAGGGTTCTGTTTCTAGGCATGTCAGTTTTTGACTTTTTATCTTCCATTTTCCCTAAATATTGGTAAACTCGCAGGCACCAAAGAACACATTTGCTTAAGTGTCTGAACAGAAACAAGAGAAGAACGTTGGTATTTTTATGTGTGTATTCAATATGGTATAAAATATAAAACCTATATTTTAACTTAGTAAAATATTTTACTACTTCTCTACTTTAGACAGAGTGTTGCAACCAAGGTAAAGTGAATAACCATTTTTCTTGAGTTTTGATTCCACCTTCTATTTCTTAAAAGCTACTGGGAACAGTTACTCCCAAAATTGTTTTTCTCCTCAGAATTGTTGATAACTTTTGTGTTACGTCATTTTCCCCCCAGTGATTCTCTTAAACATACTTTTCTTTTTTATAAATATATAGTTTTTTCTTCTCTACTAAGCTGATACCACTAGTCTCTTTTTCGAATTTAATGCTGTCATAAAAATGAGAAGCAATTATTATTTATTTTTTAAGAAACCACAAAAGTTCATACCAATAATAAATAGAAAAGCTATTTACTCAGATGGAATTCAAAGGCTTTTGCAGGAAAAAAAAAGCAGTCAACGTTTTAAATTTTTAGATTTTAGTTTATTTATAAGCTTGGAACAGATTTGGGCCTCATCTTCCCCACTTCTTTGTATCCCCTCTACATGAAGCTAAAAGGAAACTCAGTTTGTTTATATTAGGATTTTTCAGCATATGAATTTGTCCTCAAAATAAATTATGTGTCATGTAAACTTTCTCTATGATACAGTCAAGGACTAGAATCTGTAATATTTTAATGTAAGATGTTAAGACTACTATAAGTGGACATGAACTACTTTTTCCATAAAGATTTTTGGTATTTATACGTGAAATTTACTTGATAACAGAACATGGTTAAATTTTACTTTGAACAAGGTTTATTTTTCTATTTTGAATTTGCCTTATGTATATTCAAAGGCTTCTGGAAATACTGTGTGGAACATTCAGAAAAGTACAAATATGCTATACCATGTATTTTAAAATCCAACCCTTAGTCTGTACTTGTTTCTTTTATTTTAAATTTTGAACAGCTTGATCCCTTAATTAGGTACATGTAATTAATTTTATAATGAGTAACACTAAAAAAAATCCTCCACTAACCAAAAATCAAAACAAAACTCTCAGCCAATCACTTTTCATTCTTCTATGATAGAGTCCTATGGTAGCACCTAAGACAGTGCCTTGCACATAGCAGGCACTAAGTAAATATTAATATGGCACAAATGAATGATGTATTTTCAGTGTAACTGGTTTCTTACAAGCATGGCTTCAGTATTCTTGATCTTGGAGTTTGAGAATATGGAACCTCAGGGGATGAAGAGGCGCATAGATAATGTAATGGAAATGAGGTACACATTATCAACTCAACTTACCCATAAGTTACTGTTAATGGAAGACACCTTTGTTTTCTTTACCTTTAAAGAAAGGTTCTATTTCTTTGCTCCTTGGATCCTTCTGAGTCAAATAACAAAAGAAACTTGTCAGTTTCAATCAGCAGTTCTCAGCCCTTACTACACACAGTCATTTGGGGAGTTTTGAAAAATATCTGTGACTGAATCTTCATTCTCGTTTAAATTGTCTGGGATAAAACCGGTCATCAGTATTTTTCAGAACTTCTCTGGGTAATTTGAATGTGTAGGAAAGAATGAGAATCACAGATTCTATATACTGAGAACAATTACCAGTATTAAATAATTGTATTTCCTCTTTCTCCTTCTGTCTTGTGTGTGTGAGACCACCCTTTGCACCAGGCCATCCCCATTATGGTGGTATTGGTCTGTATTCCCAAATGACAAATTCAAGTCTTATTTATTTAATATAGAAGGAGTATTTTGCTGTTTAATATTTAAACAATGTTTAATATATTTCATTATTGACTAGTGTTATAGCTTATGGTTTGTTTCCCATGTGTCGTGTCCTTTACTAACTCTGTTTTTAGCAACAGCACAACAAATCCATACAGTAATAATTTATGAGTAAAGTCTGTTTTTATGGTGGAAAGAAGTATTAATTTCTTATCTGCCATGCAAAGTGAGGTACAGTTTGATTATGGAGAAACGTACTTTTTAATTGGTCTACACAGAAAAGTAAATTACTTAAATAAGATTCATGATCTAATAAACATCAAAGGAAATATTTTTCCTAAATAAAAATTTTGTGACACCTAACAAAATTAAAGTGATGACAGTGTTCTTTATTGGAGGGTGGGAAGGGAGTATTTGTTGAATTAATGTCCTATATAAAATTCTTTAAGACTTACCAGTATATTTTATAATCTTACAAATGTAATAATTACAAACGCTGGTCAAGATTAATGGCTAGAGAGGCACTTTTCCACTGAGGGACACTTTTAGACCTAAACTTTGTTGTGAAATTACTTGCTTAAATACAAAATTATAACTAGAGAAGCTTTTGAGTTTTTGTTTCTGATTTTTCAGAGAAATTTATTAAAGCTTTCACATACACATAACATACACACACAAAGGTACATCTGGTTAAAATTCATTTAGACTGCTAACGAGAAATAGTTTGCAGTTTAAGAGTTGTAGAAATTTGTTTTCAAATGAAAAGTTAGTGGCTGCTATTTTGCTTTAAAAACATGAAAATTAAATGTAATTACATTAGTATTACTAGACTGAATTTCTGCTATATATTCACTTGTTTGAGAGTCATAGGGCGATCCACATAATATATTAACTTTAGAAATGAAAGGGAGAAAAAATTGAATTTGACTTCAGAATTACATTAGGATCTTTGAAATGCCATGTTCTGTATATTTGGACATGTTCATGGTCATGTTAGGAACTATATTGATCCCAGCATTATTTCAATATTTATATTGGTGTAGTAACTAAGGAAAAGTTGAAAATGTAGATAATACTTTGAGGTCATGGATTGTGTTTAGGTTTGTGTTTTAGGTAGTGTTTATAAGAGTATTTTGAAAATTATAAATAAGTGCCATTTACTAAAATGCAATATGCATTTTTATATGAGTAAAACTAATGAAATAAAACTAGCTTTATTGCCAAAAATTCAAAAAGTGAGGTGGTAGTATTTCAAATTTAAAATTCTCCTCTTTTTTTTTTTTGGCCAATTAATTCCTTTTTCTAGGCAATTAAAAACTACTGGAAGCAACTATGCCTCTGTTTACCTATTGTGGTTAATCAGATAATGCATTTCCTTTCACAAGTATAGCAGCTGTCATTGATTGCATAACCACTGGCTGGTACTGTTTCTCAATCAAAGTGATTTTTGAATAGAGCTTAGGTTTGGCCCACTGTGTGACCTGTTAGTGTGCTACTTATTTTAATTCCATTTTGGTGGGTTTTTAAAATTCAGTTTTAATTTTAAATACAATTTTTGCAGTACTTTACATTAAGAATCTTGGGGACATTTCCACCCTAAATAAAGTGTATGAAGCTTAGAAAAAAAGAAAATCGTTACAAAAAAGGCAGAAACTGTGGATGTGGCCTTCTGATGAAGTAATTCATGAGGTTTGTCAGATACAGTGTTTCTATTTGGGAAGTGAAACACAAGTTTTCATTTTGAAAACTAAGAGTTAAATCTATTTATAGTCTTTCAGTTAATTAAATAATTTATTAGAGAATCGTGGTTCTTTCTAAAGGTAGCAAGCTGTATGAACTTAGTTTGATTATGGTCAAATTCCTATGCTATTATTATAATAGTTTTAAGAGCGTATCCTGATATATTGCCTTTACAGTTTGAGCATCCTGATTTTAACATTCAGTTTTTAAAGCAAACTGTTCTCCCATATAATCAGATCATTAACAGCATCAGTGTCTTGGTGATGCCAATAATAATGTGTGGATCTTCTGCAGCAGAATTTCTTTAATGAAGAACTTAATGGACCATATTCAAACTTAATTTCATTCCATTCATAAGTACTTACTTAAATACGTATTTTATTCTTTTGATCATCTGCTCTTGGGTGAATGTCCATGTAACTAAAATAGAACATAAGTTGTAAATGCTGTTGAATTTATTTTTTTGGCTCCAAGGTGCTAGTGTACAACAGCACATTGCCAAGTCAGCTTTTTCCTCTTTTTCTAAAATGCTTTCCCTTTTTAATTGTGTGATCAGCATTTATGGTGAGTTGGGAGACTTTTTCTCTCTCACAGTTTTCTTTTTTTTGGTTTTTCTCCGGTACCGGGAACCGAACTCACGACCTTGCACTTGCCAGGCAGGTGCTTTTGCCGCTGAGCTAAGTCCCCAGCCCCTCTCACAGTTTTCTTAAATGGCAACAGAATACATTATAAAGTAGCTGTGGAGAAGGCTGTGTGTCTGGGCCTAAATATTATTTGTAGATCCTTTGGCACAGAATGTATAGTTTATAATTCACCATCAGGAGAATCCTGACCTTTATGAAATACCATAAATCAGGTGAGTCTGTAGTGAAGTGGAAGACATCTCTGAGATTCTGTTATTACATGTGAATATCTTATTATATTTTGCCTTATTTGCCAACTTTATTAGTACACATTTATAGTAAACAATACTCGCATTGTTTGTGAGGAGTTGGTACCTGCATATACCACGTTGACATTCTTTTTCATGCCCTTCCCCGCCTTTCATCTCTTGGTCCCCTTCCCTTTTGCAAACCAGTTGCAACTGGGACCACTTTGCGTCACACAATACTGTGATAAAACACAACATTCTCAAGGATTTCAGAGTGTTTAAACTATAGTGATCTTTATTTCTCTTTAAGATGGTAAATATTACATTCTTTAAAATTGAACCACTTGAAGGTGAGATCAAGTGAGCTTGTTCATGGCTCATTCGGTCATTTAAGCACAATTCAACAACACTAATGTTTATGGTAGTTTTGAGTGTAAAACAGTTAAAATATTTACAGTCTTGGGTAATTATTTTTATGCTATAATGCAACACAGCACAAAAAGTATAAAGTCACTGATGAAATAAATTGAACATTAAAGTTTTAAATAAAAGCAAGTTGATGTAAAAATTTGAGGAAAATGAAATTACTTGAGAACACCAGCTTAAGGGAAAATAATATGGTAGGATTTGTATTACTTTGTATATTCATTTGGGATGGTCATGAATTTAAGTCAAGTTAGGCAAACCTATGGTGATTTTTCTCCAACAGTATTGCGCTGTCTGATTACAGGTGTGTGGAATTGTTGGATTTGGGGTTTTTTTTCCATTGGAGTGGCAGTAGAAGCAGGCCAGGGAATTTAAGACCCTTGAAAGGTGATTTGTACTACTTGCATTTGGCATCTAAACTGTTGGAGGAAATAAATGTTGAAACGGAGGCAGTGAAGGTGAGGAAGTTGCACTATCCTATGATCTGAAAATTTCAGTGGAGTCAGCCTGAAAGAGGAGACAGTAAGAAGGGATATATGAAATCAAGAGTTTAGAGGTAAATGATAAAAGATTGGGACATTGAAAATGATTAAAATAGGATTTGATCTTTGGGGTGAAACAAGTAGCATTGAAATAACTGACAAGAATAGAGGTAATGAAGAAGAAGGATGATAACTGGATAGCTTGAACTTTAAAGGATGGATCAGTGTTCAAAACACAAAACTTTGACTAATAGCAAGAGACCAGCCAGTGAATTGAATTTATATTTAGATATTTTAAATGACTTACTTAAACAGTAAAGGTTTAAATCATTACAGTCCTCTCCCATAACCAAATTTTACAAAATAATGTGCTGCTCCATTATAGAAGAGTCTGAGGGGGAGCTGGGGATTTAGCTCAGCGGCAAAGCGCCTGCCTGGCAAGCGCAAGGTCGTGAGTTCGATTCCCATTACCGGAAAAAAAAACCAACCAAACAAAAAAAACAACAGCAACAAAAGAAGAGTCTGAGGGCTTTTACTATCTATTAAGGCTTTTAGACAGTGTTGTGGTCTCGTCTCCCTCAGTTTGCCTCCGTGTGTAGCTAATTTTTGTATGCGTTTGTTTCCTTCACTTCGGTAGCTCAGTGGTACTAGAAATGAGAAAGTCTGTTGGAAGACCTGGGGGCTCCTTTTTGATCTTTCATTAAGTGCCAATGTGGAAGGCACTGGTTGAATGTGTCTCATTGCTAAGGACAACCTGAGTAGTACCTAACTGTAGGGGCTAGGAAAAGGAGTCCTTGGAAATATTGGTGGTAGCAGTGATTTTTTTTTTTTTTTTCCAGTTCATGAGGATTTGTCTTTGACTTTTGTATATCTTACCTGTTTCCTAGTTTGTTCTAGATTCAGGGTAGGAATTCTTAGTATGTTAGCTTAGTTTTCCCATAATAGTGAGTTAGGTGCTGTTCTGAGCATTATGTCTGAACCCATCTATATTCTGGTCAGCATGAAGTTGTATACCTTTTCTTGTTTGATGGCTCATGTTATTCACACTTTTCCTCCCTATGCCCCTGCCAATTCCCTAGTAGTTATGGTCCAGCTGAGACCCAGCTTTATTCTGTTGTCTTCACCCAGAAGTGTCCTTAACTTTTCCTGACAAGAAACAGAAGCCGTGGACTTCTCAGTGCAGTGTCCTACAAATTTGTGAACTGAAACCTTCAAAGAACAATATACATACAATAAGCATTGTTTCTTTCCTCCTATCACAGTGGTTTACATGTGTTGCTGTTCATCGAGGACTTTTCCATTGATCTGTCTTTCTCCTGCAACCTCCGCTACTCTCATTATTGTGTCACCTTGTACTTGTTTCTTTCTACCCACATTTCTACTTTGTGACGTCCTTCAGCGTAAATGTGGGTGGCTTGATTATATGTCTTCAGTTCCTTTCTAACTTTGATTCTGTCTGTCAACTACCTATTTTGAATAGAACAGTTACCATGGGACTGGAGACTTTGGATAAGTGGAGGGTATATAGCCTTTTGATTCTACTAGTCTGAGAGGAGAGTTTGTTTTCCATTTATTCTTTTCTAATAGATACAGGCCTATAGACCAGCAGCTGGAAAACCTTCAGCAAGGACCTAAAGCTCCTGAAAGTCTTGCTGTTAAGGACCCGTGGACTTAAACAGAGAAGTGCTGCAGAGCACATCTGTAGTACCCAGAAGACTAGCTTCAGGGTGTCTGCTGAGTCTCCACATAGTGAGCTCGGTTTCACATCTCCCTGCAGGCTTGGAGAGGACAAATTCTTTTAAAAAAAAAAAAATTTATTAATTATTATTATTACTCTTGTTTTTTAAAAATGCA